CCCTGCCGGCGCCGAGCTCCGCGCCGCCCCGGTGCGGCGCCCTCGGCCATTTTGGGTTCTGGTGTTGCTCGCTGCAGCAGGAGTCGCCCTGCCCTGCCGGGATCCCTCTCCCCGTGGCATGCGAGGGCTGCTGGGCGGCAGCGTCCGGCGGGCACCTCGCCCGCGGCGCCAAGCCCGGCTCTCCCTCGGCCCCTCGCAAGGGCCTGGCCCTGCGTTCCCAGTTGAAGGACCGTTTCCTTCTCCCCCCTGTGAGGACCTCGCTCTTTTCCACATCAGCGACTCCCAACTTTGTGCCATCTACAGATTTCACCAGCACACCTTGTCCTCTTCGTGACAAAGGCATTAGTGAGTTTGTGAGGTAAAATGCCTCCCAAGGCCAGCCCTTCAGCAACTCCCTCTCTTCCAGTAGGTCAGCTCTCAACATAATACACTGTGTTGCTTCAGTCACTTTCTGTGACCGTACCATGCCTCATACTCTCCATCTCCACTGGCTTCTCTGGGTGACGCCATGCCACATTCTCTTATTATGCCCCCCCCCATTTGTTTTCTCCTAGAAAAACAGTTGTCTTCCCAGAGAAAGTGAATGAACTAGGTTAACATCCTTTACCTTTAATAAAGTAATGTTGCAGTTTATCTAATGTTTCATTCAGCGCCATGTCCTTGCATTCTACACTGTGGAGAGAATGCAATTTAATTTTTTCCATTTTGTATCTTGCTGTTCGCTAGTGCTCGTGTCTCTCTTGCTTCCTCTTCACTTCACAGAAATGTTTACATCTTCTCTCAAGGACACAGGCTTTAAAACTGAGAGCTGCATTAACTCCTACAAAGCAAGGAGGCTGCCGCCAACCCGCTAGTCAGAGGCAAGGCTCACACCAAAAGTCTCCAGAAAATTCTCACCGGCACAGCTCAAGGCATTGCCATTCCTGGCTGTCTCTCCCACCTCCTTATCAGGCATGACTGCCCATAAAGCGTAATTGGTATGAGAAGCTGTTTCCAGCCCTTGCAATTCACATTTTCATGCATTAGCTTCTGAAGGTGAGGCTGAGATACTTTCTCAGACCGTGAGCTGTGCCAGTTAGGTCTGGTGCCTTACTACGTTCTCCCATCCCTGATGTAAGGATGAATAAATAGCTAATGGCACCTTAAACCACTACAGCAAGCTCTGCTAGGGCTCGTTTGGCAGAACCTGCAGCTAGATAAATTGATTTGCACAGCGGAAACGATGCCAAGAAGATCACATTTTTATCACTCCAGGGATGTATAACTGGAGTCCAAGCCCTTTGTTTTTCTGAGGGATTTTTTTGATGTTGGTGTTTTTATTAAAAGATTAACTTTTCCTTAGAATAATCACTATTTTTCAGTAACAGAGTCTTTGGTTAGCCAGAAAAACCCCATGCTGCTTTCTGCTCAAGGAGATACATATTCAGCAGGGGATAGCACATCAAAACAGTTTCCCGAACAGATTAGCTGTATTTGAGATCAGTAAGAGGTGCTCTTTCCAAAAACAAACCCTGATAGTTAGGTGAATGAGTTAAGATTGAAAGGGCTACATTCCTAAGTCGATAATGAAATTAATTAAATTTAAATCTGTCTGAATTGAATCAAAAGGCAGTGGAGAACTCTCAGAAAAATGCAGTATCTGAAGAGCATTGATGCTCTGTGCATATGATGGCATCTGTGCTCATATTAAGGCATACTGCTTTTCCTAAGATCTTCATTTTGTTGGCCAACACAATGCTAAATACTACAGTAAAAAGGATAGACTTTTAAGGAAAATCTGAGATAAACCTTTTAAAAGAGAATCTAATTAGTGTCTTAGCAAATATGGCAAATATTCCAGTTATTTAACAGCATAGAATAAAAGTGTTTATCTTCTGGTTTTATTGTTAACAACATGCTTTCAGCTGTATCATGCACATACTCTAGATTTCTTAATCATCAGAACACCGTTACATTTGCACAAATAATATAGGCCTTTGCATAATGTGATTGTTATTATGGATAATTTATGTTTGATCGAGAAATAGTTTGGGACTTTTCAGACCAAAGGTATTATTATTATTATGATGAAATCTATGTTAGAAATTATTTTCTAAGTCTGTTTTAATCATAGTCCCTAATTTATAAGAAGCGGATCAACTATACATCTGGGAAAGATGAACAAAAATCTGTAATTCCTTATCTTATTTTCTTTTAACCCTTTTTTTGAGGAAGTACAATTTTTTTTTTTTTAATTCTGTCTTTTGAAAAGAAAGTTTTATGTACCCAAGTATTGGTCCCCAGGAACACATCAGGAG